GGGGGGGGGGGGGATCCCACGTCACCCTATCTCATATAGGTCCGATAACACATTTTAACTGAAATTACACAATCCAGTATAGCCCATAAATCATAGAACCACATTTTCACTTCTGAAACCATCAATACGATTAAAACCTCACTCCTATACTCTGAATAGGCCCGAACCAGCTGTAATAACCCATACCTGCAACCTCAGGGGCAATTACATGATATACCACATAACTCAAATACTCGAAACGATAACTTCTATTCACAGTAGCTGCACATAACAATCGAATATCGATAAGAAACCTCTTATCAACTAAAGTCTCATTCCAACACTTTCACATACTACCAATGATAAAGGAAACACGCAACGAATCATAACCATTTCTCAGGTCAACCATTCATGAAGCCATTTCTCCTCTGACAATTACCGTAGCAATTTTCAAGCTGAACCTTGATATTAACCATCCAGCATGCTGAAATCGAATCCAATCGTACTCATTAATGATCCCAACGATCTCTTCTGACCAAGCACACCACCCTGGTGACATGACACATCAATACAGGCCTAAGCCACGACTTGCATAATTTGCGCACCGATAAGAAACGATCTGGACATACTCAAATCATGAAAATGACCCCCAAACGAAAGAGTTGTACCTCAAGCTCATCAGTACCATCACAACACAAGGCTGAGACCCTATCTCACCTCATAGAAATAGAACACATGAATCTACCCCGAAAGGTCATATCTCCAAGTAGCCTCACTACAATGCGCGATCCTATCCAAACACTGCTACACACGGAACACCTCAAGTCACTATGCTCAAAATCGACAGCCACGCAAACCTGGTAGAACATAACCGGTACGTCAATCACCGAGCAACTCCCAATTACTTTTCCGGCTCGACTCCCACTATGAAACCCCAATGGAATCGCACCATATGTGCCTATAACCAACAAATCATAACATCTCGCAACATAGAAAGGTAACTCATAGATCTCCCCCGATCACTGATAAGCTCAAAAACGGTTGAATCAATACCTCCCCCAACAATGCCATTCGAAGCCAACCAAGCCGACTCAAGATAGAACACTCATCATAAGAGCCCAAATAAGGAGGACAAATCCTTCCCCGCCGCCTGCTGGGTCTTCAAAATATAAAAATCCCAATAGGACATAATCCGTCGAATATCGCCACTCAACCCGTGGTATTTCCCATCATAGCCAACAGCGCCATCTTACCGCAATAGTCCAAAATAACACAACACGGAAACAACCAGTCTACACCCCAATATCATATCCACAATCTAACATACCAAGCAAAGAAAGATTCCCTCGAGCCTCCAAATCTCGGCAGTCACTAAACAGTGCTGATACACACGATCTAGGAGTACAACATAGCCTGAACATGAGAACTTCCGGTCTCCAATTCTATGTAGCACACATATCACCATACCTGACCCCAAATTCCGCCATCCGAATACATATCACACCTCAGGTACCTAGTCATTCCACGAAAGATATTCTAAAATTCCCATGTGCCATACAAGCCTCTCGAATATCAGCAGTCGATCTAGCCTGAAAGTGCCGCAATACTACCGAAGTGCCATCCACTTAATCATGTTGCCCTTTTTCTGAACATATACTATTGTCAAATCACTTCTAATTAGAAATATCATTCCCTTAACCATCTGAGGCTACCCGCTGCCTAAGAGTTTTATGAACTTCCTTTCTGAATTGTACTGTAACTCTACACACGCAAATCTTGATCCTCCACTACATACCGCATAC